CTCCCAAACTAAACAAGGGCTTCTGTCTGCAATACACATGACCTGCGTGGGAATAAGGGATGATTTTTCGTGGTTAATACATAGTCCAAGATCATCGAGCAAGGCGCAGGTCATGTGTATTGCAGACAGAAGCCCTTGTTTAGTTTGGGAGACAATTAGCCAGTCATCTAAATATGGGTATATTTGCACTCCTCTTGTCCGTAAGTGCGCACATACTGGTGCCATACACTTCGTAAAAACTCGAAGTGCGGTGGCCAGGCCAAAGGGTAGCACAGCATATTCGAACAAGTCAAGCCCAACAATGAAACGCAGGAAAAGTCTATGTGAAGGATGGATAGCAATATGAAAATAAGCATCCTTCAGATCTAAGGAGGCGAACCAATCCTTTCTCTTCAGTAACGGAAAAATACTCTGTAAAGTGGTCATCCGAAACTTTTTTGTTTTGATGTATTTGTTAAGATTCCGTAAGTCCAAAATCGGACGAAGACCACCGTCTCTTTTTGGGACCGTGAAGTATCTGGAGTAGAATCCATGCAATCCCTCCAAGCGGGATAGTTGTCAAATCGCGCCCTTGCGAAGCAACTGAGAGACTTCTTCGCACAGTACCGATGAAGAAGATGTAAATCGAATCGGACACGGTGGAGGGACAACATCAAATTCTATCCTATATCCGAACTGAATGATAGACAACACCCACCTATCAGATGTAATGGACTCCCAAATGGGGAGTCAGCCCTGGAGCCGGTCCCCAAAAGGGAGAGGGAGAGGTGGTGTGGGGAGAGAGAGAATAGTTCGCCCGGACCGTCAACGTGGACATTTGTCAGCGTCGAAGCGCCGCCGGCCCTGGGGGAAACGTTGCTGCGGCTGTTGTCTTCACCATTGCTGTCTTTGTTGGTAGTGTTGCCGAGGGTGGAATTGTGGATGGTAAGAGGAATGAGGCCCTTGCCACTTACGCCTCTGTTGAGGAAGCTCCATGCGGCGCGCGGTCATACACGATTTGTGTATCGCTTTTAACTTGCGGTCGGTTTTCTGATGGAATAACCCGGTACCGTCGAATGGCATTTCCTCGATCCTCCGTTTCATCTCATCGGGGAAATTGCAATTACGAAGCCATGCATGTCGGCGCAGCGAGATGGCATTCACGAGAGCTCTCGAATTGGTATCTACGTGATGTCGTGCGGTAGATAATTGCTGCACTGCTACCTGCGTAGCTTCCTTGATGAATACCTTGGCAAGCTTGGCTTGGCGGTCTGGAAGGGAAGAAGCAACGTTATCCAGTTTTTGCATAATAAAATACTGGTAACGTGTCAGTGTTGCTTCATAGTTTGATATGCGCATGCCAAGTCCAGAGGCCACATAGACTCGGCGGGCAAGCGTATCGATCTTCCTCCCTTCCTTGTCGCGAGGGGCTATGTGTCCCCTGGACTCCCTGCCCTGGGAGGATTCGACGACAACAGAGTTCGGGCGTGGATGGTGAATCAGGAACAGAATGTCGTCCTCCAGAACTCTGTACACGGCTTCATACCGACGGGAGGTTGCTTGCGGTTGGGCTGGTTGATCCCAGGGTTGGACCATAGCCTGCCGAAGTGTGGTAATAAGCGGCAGGACTATGGCCGCAGACTGTTCTCCCCTCACAACATCATAGAAACGATCTGTGGATGGGCCCGGCTGTTGACTAGCCTCAATCTCTAGTGAACGGACGAGGCGGGACATGAGCTCCGTAAAGGAGACATGTGGCTCATCGGGCGACGCCGGTCCTTGGGAGGCGACTGCTACATCGGGGGATGTAGAGTCAACCTCAGATTCATCCGAATCCGGATAATAAAGTGGACGGTCGCTCGAAGACGATGTTTCTGGGGAGGTTGGACGTCCCCTCTCCACATGCCTGGCCGTCGAAGGCGAATCTCTCGGGGCGATGGAGACACACGATCCCGAGGGTAGTACGAATAAGACTGATAGCCACCCCAGTCTGGGAAGGCACTATATCTGTGCATCCTCCAGTCGTCACCCCAGTGTTCGGACAAGCGGCTGCGGCGCCTTGGAGGCGAAGGTGACTCCACAGGTGGCTCAGTCGTGGGCATTGGAGTCGGAGACCTTTCCCTCGGTGGGGAGTCTCTAATCTCGCCATCAGAGATAGACTCCCGAAGCGGCTCCTCCACTTGTTGGGTTGGCACATTCTCAGGCTGAATGAGAGGCCTGGGGGATCCTGGTGGTGTTACCTGCATAGTAAATTGCAGGGCCGGTCCTGAAGGGGTCGGTACCATGGCGGCGGACAGTACCGAAAAAACAGACGAACCCGAGCCCCGGTGTTTGGGGCGATCAGGTTTCTTGGTCTTGTGAGTGGGTTTATCTGCCTTCTCCTTCCTCGGAACTTTACGAGCGGAAGGCTTATCCAAACCTGTGTGCTTGCGCTTCTCCCATTTTTTGGCTGGGGAAGAAGGTGGCACCTGGGTCTCCGCTGGAGTAGTGCCTTCAGCTGAAGGACGATGAGAAGGAGCGGTGGAAGCGGGACGCTTTGGAGGAGCGCTCACAGTTGGGATGGAGCGTGGAGGAGGCGGTGCGGCTGAAGAGGAACCAGGCCATAAGAGCAGTTGGTCCGATTGCATCAAGGCCTGGTCCCAGAGGAGCTTGTGGAGACGGTTCTCCCTGTTCTTCTGTGCTTGCTTGGTAAAGGCCAAGCAATGGCTGCACTTGTCGGTTCTATGCTCCTCGCCGAGGCAGAGGAGGCATAGATCATGCGGATCTGCAGGTGACATTTTGGATCCGCATGTGGTGCATTTGCGAAAGGCCGCTCACTGTGCCATCGTGGAAAAAGAAAAGATGACAAGATAGAGGGTAAGATAATATTTTTGGTTTGTTTGTTTGTTTTGGAATATAAACTAGGAATATAAGAATTAGTTAAAGAAGGGATAAAGGCAAAAGGAACAGTAAGGACTCAAGATCTTAGCGAGGACGTTAACAGGCACGAGGCACAGCGAACGGCGGTCGCAAAGACTGAACAAAATGGCGGACACTCCGCTCTATTTATACCATGAAGGGGGAGGGGAGCAGAGTTTTCCCGCCAAAAACCGTTAGCTTTTTAATCTTCCGGCCTAGGCACTGCGCAGGCGCAGCACCCATATGTGTGATGCACAGAGGCCACGACAAAGAACAAGCAGTCTGCAAAGTTCATAATTAATGACTAGTATGTGATAGGTGTGTGTGTTACAGATAACAAGGCAGATGAAAAAATACTTGTTCCCAGGTCTTCTGGCTCTAAGAATTTCTTGCAATTCTCTTCCGTAACTCTAACGTGTTTCCCAACCGAAGCGAAATGATTTTCAAGCCATGAGCAAACATGGCGTTTCATTAAAAGGGATGGATAGAGAAGGGTGTCCGTGCTCATCTTGTGCTTTGTGCAGTTGGGCACTGTAACAGCGAGCGAGACCAGGGGACCTCTAAGGAGAGCAAGGTGTCCTCTTGCTTCCTGTGCAGATTTGTGCACCTCAGATGGGCCCCTACTTTCAGCCTGCTTGCCACCAGGCAGGGACTAAATTTTGACACCATGAAGAAGCAGACTGAGAACTGCTACCGCCGAGGAAGGAGGAGTGACTCCAGGAGGAGGCTCTATTCACTCCCCAGTAGGGAAATGGTACAGATCAGCAGCAGAATTGTGTAAGCCTAGCTCCTCTGAAGACACCAGAGCAGGCAAACCTCCAGGATCTTGCCGATATTATGCTGCAGAGAACACTGTATACCACTAGGCTGATTTCAGCCTTTGTAAGGCACCTTGATAAATTAGCTTCATTAGGCTAACAGTACAGAAGTGGATTTAACTGCAGGTTCCTACCTTCATCAGAAGGGGAGGCTCATGGTCAAGCACACACTCTGCATGCCAAAGGCCCTCCATTTCATCCCCAGCATTTCCAAGTAAGGCTAGGAAAGGATCTGGCCACACTCCTAGAAAGCAGCTGCAGTCCTTATCAACAATACTGGACTAGATTTTGACTCAATGTAAGGCAGCTTCTTAGGTTCTCCTACTAATAAAATCACAGGGCTGACAGGCATTCTGACATACCTACAGCCTGGCACTTGCTATGAAATAAGCAACCTGCTTCCCACATGTATTTTCTGGGGTGTGATTATCTTTGGGGAGCCCTGTGTTCCTGCTTACGATAAACCAGTGGCTAGAAGAAATGAGGATGTGAGGTTGGCGGGGCATAAGCCAGGAAATTACCAATAGTTCCAGGGTGAGTCAAAGGTAAACGGGCCTGTGGTACGCTTGAGGGACTGAGGACCTCCTCATTCTCGTTCAGCCCCAACACCGTGCAGAGGGGGAGAAAAGCTTCTCCCTCCAGATCATTGGCCCCTATGGTGTCATAGTCAAAGACGGTGAGCAATAGGCATGCCCCATCCTGTTGGCATTTATCTGGTGGGACCAAACTGTAAGAGAGAGAAATAGGAGTGTGTCAGAGCCAAAATGCCACTTCTCAGAAAACTCTAGTAGAAACAGCCTCCATTAATTTCATGCCATAATGTTCAAATTAAGGAGAGCTTTGCTTTCCTGGCAATCTCTACAGTGATCTCCAGACCTTATTTGAATGGTGAATGGTGTGTTGCCCTGGCCATGTGCTAAAAGTGTGTGAGATCCCAAGGAAATAATAAACTAGATCCAAGTTTGTTTACAAGGAGATTTTGTTGGATACATGGTACAAATTAGCTAGCTTTCCAAGAGTTTAGCAGCAAGTCACTTACAATGCACAGCAAGGACCAGGCTGCCAGGTAGGCTTCAATCAGCTGGAAAAGGCAGGCAGCAAAGCCGCCTCAGAGAGATGATGTCCGAAAAGCACACAAAGGAAATGGCCAGCTTATATAGGTTCAGCAATTATACATCAAAACACCCTTTGCAAGCTTGATAATATAAATGAATAGGATTGTGTTGACACTTGTAATCTCAAGTGAGTGAGTGATGTTACACAGGTGTCTATGTCAAACATGGGGGAAATATTTCTTTACTTGGTTCCCAAAATGTATAATATATGAAGTTTCCCATTAGTGCCAGTTAAGATTCTCATAACTTAAGAGTCTTATACAAAGAGTCTTTGTGTACCAAGATGATAGAATGCAATATCATAAGCTAATTAAGCTAAGCATACCCCAAATCAGAAGTTCATTAGCAGGTATGATAAGGTGACATTCCCAAAACGGAACACAGCCGCATATCTGCTCTTTGTTCCAACTCTCTTGCAAAAAATGTTTCTTTGTACCTTGAAGGACACCTAGCAAGAACTGTGAGACAATAAGTAGAAATCTGCCTTTTTAATTAGGCTAAGCAAGGTAACTGGAGTGCAGCACTTTGCTCATGCTAAGCAAGACCTATTCCTAAGAAGCCAGAGTCCAAGGCCTGGATTTTCAACACAGGATGGATATAACTGGGAAGGCTCAAGCTATATCAAACCCAAGTGCCTATACATACAACTCAAAGACTTCATCAAACAATGGGTGGAGATTGTTCTTTATACACTGGGTTGTCCGTGCCACCACTTCAGGGAACTCATGTCGGGGCTCCAGGGTCAACTGAATAAAGGGGTCACTTGAGCCTGAAAGAGAGTGTGGGAGGATTGAAAGCAAGAAGCGAGAGAGTAATCGTATGATAGCAACTTGTTGCACCTCTAACCAACCACCAGGTAGCCACATTTGCTTAGTATCTGGTGGCATCCCAAAAGATCCAAGATTGTTATAGCATGTACAGTCCTTACCTTAGTAACGAAAATACGGCCACTGTGAAATGTTGTGGTTACCTCCTTGGTATAGATTCTGGATTGAGGCCAAGAATTACTAGCATGCAATGAGTAAACCCCTTAGCTGCTGAGAATGAAACCTGAGAATAGGAGCTTGAAGCTAAGGTTGCATTTTACAGAGTAAGCACGTGGGCTCACTTGGCTCAGGGCCATCTTCTCTGACCAGCAGCAGCAGCAGCCCTCCATCTTCTGAGGCAGTGGCTTTTCCCAGTCTCCCTAACTAAGATCTTTTTCGGAAATCTTGGAACTTATACATGCAAAGTATATTCGCCACCTCCTGATCTAGCACTGTATTTTCCATGGAGTGGGACACACTCTTTCCTTCAACTTTGTTTTATTTAAAAAACAAAACAAAAACCTTATCCCAATTATCACCATCACAGAGCTGGGGACAGGACCACAACTTTCGCGGGAAGATAAACCAGCACGTGAGTGAAGCAACGCCACCCTCCTCTGGAGAGCTGGGTGCACTACAGGCTGCCCAAATCCTCCCTTCGACTATCAGGGGTATTTCCATAACGGCACATCAAATTTCACTTTGTTATCATCACACGCTTCCCATAAATACATGCAATTACAGTCATGGTATTTTCTGTTCAATTACATTCTAATGTTTTCATGTTATACAGTATATTACAGGAACACTTTAATCAATGCTGTTACAAGGCTAATCATGCCAATGTTTTTATAAGATTATATCTCTTTAGTAAGATAAATGATGCTCTGCATGCAGGTGTGTGCACACAGGCCTTGCTGGAAACTGGAGCACAAGGAAAGCCAGAAACAAGAATATTGACTGTACTACTCCCCTTTCTTGCACAGGTATCAGTAATGGATTGTGTAGTCAGCTGCTAGTTCAGATGCATCCTAACCTATATCATATAAGCCAGTTCCAGACATTTCTTTGCACTTTACCATGAGCAAGGAAAAAGGGAATAAAGAGTGGGACTATGCAGTGAGGACTATGCAGGCTTGGCTGGACTCAGTGGCTGGAGTCCCCTGGAAGAGGGGAAAGGGTTAGCTTTCACTCTGAGAGCATCCCTTGCCTTTCTCCTGCGCAAGTGAATTGCTACCATTTGCTTCTACTGAGAGGAGTAAAACTTGGGCATGCTGAGCGGTGAGGCAAATTCCTGTCCCCCAGCCTAGAATGACTCACCTTCTTGCAGGGACAGAGGGATCAATTTGTGCCTGCACACAGAGCAGTAAGCTACACCAGCAAGGATCCTGGCAATATCCTAACAGCCCTTACCACATACATGCACACTACTTAATGACTGGCATTTTTGCTAGATCGCTCCCCATCCACTTTACCCTAGAATCCGTCTAGGATAAAGTATCCATGCTGTGGGTGGATAAGGTTTCTTATGGCTATTTCCAGCGGAACAGACTCCAGAGTCAGCAGCTACTCTCAGCAGAAAAAGGCAGCAATCTCTGCTGGCCCATTCTTTGCTAATCTGTCAAATCAATCCCTCTGGAATAGTCTCTAAATTACCCACTGCTCATGCTGTCAGGATGTGGCTACTCCCACACCCATAAACCATAAATTTCAGTGTGCTGGACAAGCAAAGCCCAGAATGCAGCTGGATTTTAGGCACAATACTAAGACTGTGCGAAACCTAGGCACTGACAGCAAGAACTGAGCCGTGTTCCAGCAAAAATAAGGGAAACAAGCCGTATCGATCTAAAGCATTGTGCACCTCCTAACAGATTTTTCTTGTGAAAAAGGGAAATGGAGGAACTGTTGTGAAAATGAGTGGGTTACCAATGGAGGCTGCTGTCTGGACTCGCAAATAATATTCTGTGAGTGAAGCAGGGAGACCGAACAACAAAAGCATCATCTCAAAGCACCACAAGCTGCACATTACTTTACTTTGACTTACCATTGGAGTCCAGAGGAAGGAGGTTCACTGCGTTGAGCACTTCAATGCGCAGCTTTTGCTCTGAGCAGCGGTAAAGAGCTTTAATAGTCACAGCTCCATATTTTTCAGGACTAGCCTCCATCTGAGACATATGAACAATTAGAGAAGGAGTCACTGCACCAACAGGAGAAGAATCTCAAATGCACTTTAAATACTTTGCCGGTCTGGTTGCCTTATACTTGCTGGAGTGAGAAACCAGTAATTGACGTCACCTCAGGCCTCGCTCTGCTATTCAACAATCATAGTTTTATCAACACGTCATGCAAGAAAACCAAATGAACACCACTTTTCAGCCAAAGAAAGAGCATGGGTGTGCCACCCATTCCTAAATAAGAGCCAAGAAGCTCTGAAGTCCTACCTGCTGCTGGATACGGGCACTGAAGTACTTCTGGATAAGTTTTCTGCTGGTGGAAGAGCAAAGGTCCAGCTGTTTCTCTAGATCCTAGGAGAGAACTGCGGGGTGAATGTGAAGCAGGCAGAAACAGAATGACCAGCTTTCCAAGTAGAGGCACTCCAAGACAAGAGGTCTCCAGCACGATGCACTTACGGTCCCTCTGCTGAGAGCCATAGAAAGGGCTGCAGTGGCCTCTCGACCCTTTGTGTGCTCTAGCACTTTTGGAGTGCTCTTGCCCTGCCACGTTCCATCCACAGGAATGACACAGTAACAAGTTACCAAAGCAAGTCAGCAACCTGTTTACTTATTAAAATATTCAAATAGGCTAAAACTAGTGTTTCAGACTAAACCTTTTCATCATTCCAGCATGAGAGCAGAAACCACATCTGAAGCTGAACCGTATAAATGCTGAGTTGGGGGCAGCTTGCCTTTATTTAAGATCAAGGTGTGGATTTCGACTGGATCAACAGCACTGGGAGAAAAACTCCCATGGCCGGTTACTGTAGCTCCCTGAAAGTTAGCAGATCCTACTAATGGTGATAAGCTGGGGTGACCGTGGGATCGTAAAAATCATGCAGAGAGACCTTTTGCACGCAGAGGTCTTGCTCTTGCAGGAGGAAGAATCTGGATCAAACCCAAGCTGACAACAAGATTCCTAGCTTGGCCTTTTGCCTTTTCTTTTAAACAAGAATAAAAGCTTGGCTTCCTCTGCAAGCAATGAATCTCTAATATGGGCGGCATGAACATTTACTGCAGGGTGGCCCAAAAGGAAAAAAACACACTGCACCATGACCTCTTGTGGCTCCCAAGGTGTTTTTGGGATGGAAAGGGAGCTGCCTTTACTGGAGGCACAGGGAAAAGCAGCAGCAAGGGGGTCACCCCAACATGGCACCTGTGGGAACCTCTAATGACTCCTGTTAAAGTGTCCCCACTGCAGCATTCAAGCATTTATTTATCCCCACCTCTTTTTTAATACACATACCTGGCTTTGGATGAAATGCATGCAATTTTCTAGCAATTTTAAGTAGTCTTCAACAAAAGTGGACCAAAGATCCAAACAGGTATCTGTTTGAAGGTGGCACCCCTATGCCACTCATTCAAATACTGAAACGTTCCTCATTCCACTGTAGGAAGTGAGTATCCCTTCAATATTATAATATTACAATAGCAGTGGCTACTTCAAGGGACCAACGTCCAAGTGGGGCATGGGGGCCATTCTCCTGCCCGCCTGCTGCTCAGAGAAGGCCGCATCAACTGTGTCCGGAGGCAGGGCTGCTCGGCTGCGGCAGGGACCAACCTCCAAGGCAGCGGCCTTGAGCAGCAGCTCACGGGTGGTGCAAAGGGCATTGCTCGCCTGGTGCCTGCTCAGATGCCAGGCTTCTTGGCAGGGAAGAGGAGAGTTGCAGTGGATCGGCTTGGGGGCATAGCAAGTGCTTTGTTTTAGCGTTTTTATTGGTTTTGTCATATACATTTTATATCTCTCCAGGTAACTTGGGGGAGCAAGGGGGTGCTCCCATTACTGTGAGCACGGCTAGGGGTAGGTATGCTGTTGGGGTGTCAACAGGCCAGCTGGGGGGAAGAGGGGCTCCATACCTCACAGCTATCCCCTCCTCCCCCACTGGATGACTCCTGGCAGCTTTACCACCCTGCCCTTGGGCTGGCGGGGGGGGGGGGGTGGTGCTGCTGCTGCTGCTGCTGAAGGCCAGGTCAGCCCAGAGCAAGATCTCCCTCATCCATGACTTGCTTAACATGAGAGCCTGGTGTGGCTTGCCCCACTGAAAGCTGGTAGGGTGAAATTGGGGCAGGTACTCTCTCAGCTGTACCCACCTGGGTACTTGGTGCAGAACCAGCATTGACTCAAGCACTGGAAACAGGGGTGGCCATGGTCTATAGAGTTGTGATTGCCCTCTCTAGGCTTCCTCTTCACCTGAGTGTGGATCTTGTGTGCTTGTACCTTGTGCTGGGCACTCAAGACAGATCAGGGATTCTGCTGAGGGACTGCCCATCCTGCTGCCCATCAGATTGCCTGCCTGAGCAGATGGAGGTGGTCTCAGACTTGGTTCCGAGGACCTCCAGGATGATGGTTCCGGGGGATCTTAACTTCTATGCCAAGACTGCTTTATCCAGGGCAGCTCAAGACACCATGGCCATCATGACAACTATGGGACTGTCTCAACATGCTACTGGCTCAACACATGTACAAGAACACACCATTGACCTGGTTCTCGCAATAGGACAGAAGGCAGTGATCTGGAAATGAGGGGGTAACATTAAACCTCCTTGTCATGGTCAGACCACTTCCTTTTGAGACTTTCAGCTCCTTTCCTCCTTTGCAATGTTGGGGGACCTATTAAAATGGTCCTCCCCTGGAGGCTAATGGCTCCTGGTGGTCTCCAGAGGGCTCTGGGGGTGCTTCAGACTGGTAGGGCTGGTGCTCCTGCTGAAGTCCAGGTCACTCTGTGGAGAGTGGAGATGGCCCAGACAGCTGACACGATTGTGCCCAAGCGCCCCTTTCCCTTGAGCAGAGCCCACCCAGCTCCCTGCTACACAGCGGAGTCGAGGGCAGATGATTAGCGTACAGGTGGGGCATAACTAGACATGGGTGAGAGTTCATGATCAAGCCTACTCCGTGCAGATGACGGTGGCAAAGAGGCAGTTCTTTTTCAGCAGCATTGCAGCTTCTCAGAGCTGTGCAGAAGAACTTTTTCAAGTGGTCCATGGCCTACTACAATCCGGGCCAGGGAAAGAAACAGTGGAATCCTCAGTAGTCATGAATGTTCCCACATTTGCATAAGAACAATCCTGTGGGTTCCTTTTATATCCCAAACAGAGGCTCTTAAACAAAGGTACAAAAGGAAGTTAACTTCAGCTCATCTTAGACTCTTTTGAAAACCAAGAGTTTGAGCTGAAACTTCCAAAAAAATCCTTAAAATCCATTGAGAGAAAGTTTTTTGTGTTGATTTGGCATAAAATCAGCATGCCTTGTGGACTGTTATGCAGATTTGATTGTTATGCATCACTGCAGACAAGATTACATAGTAAATGACCTGTACTAGCTGAACCTTGAAATCCATTTTTGTGCTGATTCAGACCTTCCAGGAGGAAGTATTCAGCCACACAAAGGTGTTTCATATGCAGCATGTGCTTTACCAGAGGCACTTTTGTTTAGGGTCAAAAGTGTAACTAATAATGTGTTTCAAATTGATGCAGGATCGCACCACTGGGAATTAATGAAATTAGACAGTTCCTTGTTAAGATAACCTGTGGTGTCAAATAAATATGAAACACACCTTTGGTTGAATGTAAGATCGATAGACATGGCAGGCTGACACAAAACTGATGATTACTGATCAGGCATTTTGCAATGGTGCCCAGGGCAGTTTCTCAAATTCCCAGACTTGACCATGGTGCCTCACCATTTGGGAGAGCCCCAAAATATTGCACCAGACAAAAATGGAGCCAGAGCAGGCAGACTGAGCAGCAGCTAACTTGCTTCAGGAAGACCATCGTTGTTCATGGGGAAAAAGACCTCCCGCAGTGATATTTCGTGCATTCCTAGACAGCCTTGCTCAGTACTGAGGGATTTTCCCCAAACGCTCCAGACAGGACAATAGTATCTTACTTTAAATGCTGCAGTATGAAGGACGTCCTTTGGCAGTCCGCAGCCTTCTGCATGAAAGCAGAGTTCCAAACTCTATGGGGGTGAAAGAGGAGAAAGAAGAAAACAGGGAAAGTGAGTGACCCGCTGCTAAAGCGCAGCAGAAGTCACAAGCTTCCATTCCACTCCACCTTCATAAGTACCTGGAGGGCAAACTGCAGTTTCCTGAAGTACTGCAAGCTGCCAGGTTTCTGTTTGGCAGCCCCTTTCAGCACGTCCAGGGTATGATTCCACAGCAATTCCAGGAGGCTGTTTCAAGGGGAGAAAGCAGGTGAGAAGCTAGATTGCCCTGCAGAGCCCGTTCCAGTAAGGCTCAGGGGGTGCCAGTCAACTCTCCTGGTGGTTCTCTACGCAAGGCCTTCATTGTGCCTCATGATCCCTCGCTTGTGGAAGGTGCCATCCTTTTGCATGCTGTTGTCATTCTGCAATTTTGCATCTTTTTTTTTACAGCCAGGATAATAAGGTCATGATAGCAAACACAGAATAGAACAAAAACCAGCCTTGTGTAATTGTGCAATTCCACTATACTCCTGTATGCTCACCCTGGGACGGCCCAAAGTTGCCCATCCCTATCCTAAAACAAAGTAGTAGCATACTACTGCTCTGAGCCTGAGCCAGCAGATCCACATCCATGACTGTAGATGGTCATATTTATTCACAGAACAGAATAAAGCTCCTGGAACTTTATGTTACTTGCTTACAATACTGAGATAATTTCCAGAACCATAATAAGCCTATTTCACGGACAACACTCTTGAACCCGATGCCATCTCACCTATTTTTGTAATATTTTATCTTTTTCATCTTCACCCATTTTCAGTAACAGATGCACAACCCTGGGCCCAAGGAGAGGAGGAGAGGAAATGCCTCTGCCAGGATTAAAAACTAACTCAAAGTGCCGCCATTTTCTTGGCTAGCCTACAATCTTACCCAGCTCCTGTCCTGCAAAAAAAACCCCAGTGTACTTTCCAATCAGATAAGCAGTCTTGCTCTAGTGCTTCCGATTACAAGCACAGCTTATTTACACTAAAACAAAGAGACACATATACTAATCCTGACTGACAGCTTTTTCCTAAAAGGTTTCAGTGTCTCTGGTTGCACTTTCCAGAACTGGTGCTCCTGGTGCTCCACTAGATGAAAGAAGCTATTGTTATCCAGCCTATTTTCTGTATGTTGCTGAGCCTAAACAAATATCAGAACCTGTATGGACAGAGACCATCCTTCCTCCTTGTGCATATTCCCAGCACATTCTTTTCCTAACTTTCCCCTATTATTTTGTTTGCGCACATTCCCAGTGCATTCTTTACCTAATTTCTCTCTATTACTTTCTTTGTCATTTTGTGATAAGCCTCTCAGGAGTATGTTCCAGCCCTTTTTCCACACTGTGTATGTGACTGCAACATTATAAAACACCCCAATGTACCCCACATCCCTTGTAGTCAGTCTTTCTCTCGCTACCTTACATGTATGTAATTTTTCTGGTGCTTAAATAAACTGTAAATAGTTCTTTCTACATCCCAGCATGCCTGTTCTCTCTGATTTTTCTTAACACCTCTGAGCATGCGCAGAAGAGCTGCCTGCAACCAGTAGCCTGAGCCAACAGATCCACAACTTGAGGGCTCCTAGATCAAAGACGGGAGTTTCTGCCTGGACTCCCCCTGGAGAACCCAACAGCACACCCCCCTTGGAGACCCCACAATGCCCCCTTTCTGCGCCAGCAGCTGCTCTTGCACCTCATCCTCTTACTCCTTGTTGTCCCACTTGCTTGTCGGGTGGGCAGACAGCCCATGTGCAAACGGGCTGAGGCAACTACTCCTGCTCATCGCAATTGTCCTCTTTGGGCCGTGGTGAGTAAGGGGGAGATGCACACGCAGGCTGCAATGGCAAAAAGAGGAACGAGCATGGGCCGCTAACCAGTACGCAGCCCTGCCTAGCCTTGATACTGGCCCCAATCCTCATAATGTTCTAATAATAATAATAATAATAATAATAATAATAATAATAATGGCTCACCTTTTGAAGTTCTCCTGGACCAGGTTCCCATTTAGGTACTGGAGCTCACACTCCAAGAATCTCATTAAGGGAGTGATGCACTGGAAGGATAGGGAAAAAATATCAGGGAAAGCAGGTGAGGAGGGTACAGCATTTATAACCAGATTTACCTTGTCTGGTGATCTGCTTTGCACACAATGCTTGTATCATACCAGCACCTGGAATACGCAACCCAGTTGTACACTGCAACCCATTTGTACACTGTATGCACATCAGTGGATAGGTAAGAAGCTTTCTTAAAATTATAGCCCAGTGTGAGAAGTACTGGCAGGGTAACCACTTCAGACGTGGCAGTCTCAAATGAATACTAATGTGACAGTAAGCCATTTAACTCAGCCCAAAATCTGAACTCTATAGCAAAGAACGGCCAGATTGTCTTTCCAGCCTAGTGCAGGGAAAAGAAAAGTTGTGGAACTGTAGAAGTGTCACCATATAACCCGAGCAAAGACGTAGGTAGGACAAATTCTACCCTCTGAAGAATTCAGTATAATATGGTCCCTTACCTATTCATACCTGGCTTTTTTAGAAATAGGAAAGCAACTTGAAAAAGGTAAAAATATCAGTGGTTGTCACATGATACAAGTCAGTCCTTCATGAGAGTTCTTAATACCAGTTCTATAACAGTATATGAAATAACATAAATCAAAATAATTATATAGCCTTAAGCGTGTAACAGCTCTGAGGCAAGCTGGGTTATTGTTTATTTTTTCTAACATGAACCTAGAAACCCACATTCATTCCAGTAAGCTCAGAAATGAGTCTATTCCAACCTTGCTTAACCTGATGCCCTCCAGATGTTTTGGAGTTAGAATTCCTGGCCTTTGCCCATGCTGGCTGGAGCTGATGGGACTTTAAGTCCAAAACATCTGAAGGGCACCAACTTGGAGAAAACTGCTCTAACCATTCAGTCACCACCTTGCTTGATGGCTACCAGTGTTATGGGGTGCCTTCTTGCATTCTTCTGCAGGCCTCTAACATATTGTCCTAGGGCCTTAAAACAGATTTGTTCTGACATTCAAAAACTTACATCCTCTGGGTCCTTGGAGTCACTTGAGGCTGACAGATCTTGGATGTGTCTTGCAATTCCAGCATGCAGCTACCAAACAGGACATATACTTAACATTACTGAGGGAATTTTGTATCAATACTAAGAGCTCTCAGCTTAAAGATCTTACTAATCCTCACACCAGTCAAGAATGATAAGGCAGCCACTATATCCCTGTATTAAATACTTGGTGCATGGGACAGAATCAAATTTTCATAAAGCAACCTAGTCAAATTTGGGATCATAAGCTGCTTTATACTGAATCAAAGTCCAGGCCCATCTAGCCTAGTATGGTCCGCATTGAATGGGCAGTGGTCGTCTTGTGTTTCAGGCAAGAGTTTTCCAGCCCTACAGGAGATGCCAGAGTTTAAACCCAGAACCTTCTGCCTCCAAAACACATGTCATACAACCAGACCAGGCAATACATGGTTCAGGCTGCCAAGATCTTTTAACTCCTTAAGAGCTGTGGAAAGCAGAAACTTACATCACCAAAGAACCCGCCCCATCCTGGTTCCATCTTCCTCTTCATTGTCATCTATATTAACAGGGCACTCATTTCCCAGGTGCTGTTCCTTTCGCAGCACCATCCCTTCCTCCATGAAAAGTATTTTTTTAAATACTTTTTTTATTGTTATATTGTTATTGTGTATTTATGTATTTGTTTCTGTTGTGAGCCGCCCCGAAGCTTCATTGCGATGGGGGCGGCATAAAAATGTTTTAAATAAATAAAATAAATAAATAAATAAGAAGAGGGAGGTATAAGCAGGCTTGGGGACTTGCCTAAAGTCATCCAGTAAAAGCCAAATGAGGACTGAGTGACTGATTTTTGCATTTGTGTGCCGCCAAACTATTCCAACAGGAATCTCTAGGTGGCTTACAAGAACGGATTGTGCATGTTTGGTGGGGTACAGAATGCTGAGGGTCTGTCAGGGACCAATGAGGAGGGGAGAAAATGAGGAGGATGGAATGGAGTATTCTAGAAGTCATAGTTGACTAGCACCTGCAAATTCAGTGAGTGGGAGGTCGTGATGTGGAGCCGCTGGAGCCACTGAAATGGCATCAGTCCTGCTAGGTTTAAAAATGTCTTTCTCCTTTGGGCAGGAAAATATGTGAAGCACTGGAGAGTTGTCTACCACCTGCCAGAGATTCTGTAATGCCAACAGCATTTCCCATACACTTTCAGACCATATAGAGAACCATAAGAGTTAGCTGGTTCTTTTCAAGTTAGTAGGATGCTGAATTACATATATTCATCCACTCACACAGCTCTTGCAGAATGCACACATCCTCCTCCTTAACACAGGGGGTCAATGATATGGATTGCTAACATGGTTCTCTCACTGGCTTCCTTTTCCCCTTTCCAGGCATGGCCCTCCCAACCCTCTCTCTCCTGGACTGAATGAAAGGAGCACGTGCAGGAGGGCTGCTTGGTTACTTTGGTCCCCAGGGTCTGCACCACGCCGCGGATCTCATTGTTGAGGGACGTGACGGTCGCCTGCAGCTGGTGGTGCAGCGTGTTCTGGAACTGTTCTGGTGCAATGACATCTCCGGTCTTCTGCTCCAGCTGCGTCCAGCTCAGTTGTGAGGGCAGCATCAGGATCATCATGCGGAGCTGCTCGATGTTGTTCACCACAATGCAGAGCTGTGGGTTGGGAGAGGAAAAGCCTTGCAAGCCTCCGGTGCCAACTAAAGACATATTTGCCCCTCCAGGGATTTGATTGCATTCGTTTTGCTGCATCAGGTAACATACATTATTTCTGTATGTTACTGTACTCTCTGTTACGGGGGATTTGGTTGATGCTGTGCGATTTCGTTGTGCTTTACTGGCTGTACTCCTCTTTGGAATTAATGCACCAGCAAAAATAGATAATATGCTTCATAAACAAAAGGAATAAAGCAATCCTGCACATTAAAAACGTCTGCTAAGCAAACAGTAGAGTTCCATATCCCAAAAAGGCATGGTTGTCAGTTCTATGTCTTCTTTCTGGTACAGAAGCTGTCCCCACACCACAACCTTCGTTGTAGAACGGGCTGCCATGATTCCTTGCATTCAGCATCACTCACCCGGTTTGCTGCTTCTCCCTCCTCTTGCTGGTTTGATGACAATTCCTCTGCTCTTGTCTTGATCAGCCGGCAGTACATGAGAGCAATTTTGCACATGTCCTAAGAAATCCAGAAGGAGAATGCTTGAGGATAGTGCACATTTCTGTTCAAGCAAGTCTTTGACGTGTAAATAGTCTGTGGGGTTGGTGGGACTTTTATTTGAATATTGTCACACTTTTGGCTATGCATTTAATGTATTTACTTATTGTTTCAATCCATTTTTCTTTATCTAGGACCCCTTTCTTGTTAGAAGGGCAGGATAATACAAATCAAATAAACAAACAAATAAATAAATATAGGTAAGGAAGGCTAGCAATTGCCCGTGCTGTACATGCAGGAATTGCGGTACAACATGTCTGAAGGGTGCCAGATTGCTTGGACCGATGAGAGGGAAGGGAAACTCGCAGAGGTTACTAGTCAGGCATAAATGGAAATAATTTTCCCCCAACACCAGTTATGACAGAGGAATCTAATCCTGACCATGAAAGCAAAACCCATTTGGTAAGCTTCTTCAAGAGGGAAATTATTTTTAGCTCTTTTCTTCCCATCTCCAACTTTAGTCCTTGGAGAAACAGGAATTTCATTGTACTTTACCGTAAAAGGTAAGGCACTGCAAACTCTAAATTCCAAATGTAGCTAAAACAATTCATCTATATAAAGAAGAACTCTTAAAGCACACAATTTGGTTTGTTGCACCATTGAGAGGTACCTGAACAGGACTTTCATGGAATTGGAACAGATGTACAGGTAAACACGAATGAAAGTGGCATGGACCAGAAAGAGGTTGCTGTGTCTGTCTCTATACACACCTCGACAAATTTCACCATGATCATGAAGGCCTCTCCAGGATCTGGCCAGTCCAGCTGCTGCCAGGTCTTTACCATCTGAGCATAACAAGTGGATAAGTCCACGGTGGATGTACTATGCTTATTCAGCTCACCCAATGTTGTCAGCTGAGCAGAAATGAAATGAGAAAGGGAAGTCAGTGACAACAATGGAATGAAAACGGCATTTATGGTGTTCTTCAGCCACTCTGGAGCTGGGATCTCCAAGAAAGACAACTGGATTTCCTGATCCTCCAACAACTTGATCTGGAATGTCCCATCTACTTCAGTGATGTTAGACCTGTGTAAGTAGCTGTCAGGAGTTTGGAGAGACATATCACTCCTAACCTGTGCTGAGGGGGGTTCAGATGGGGCACAACTGCCATTCCATTGGCAGGGCAGCTCATCCGCTGCAGAGGCCCCAGCTATGTTCACAGAAAGCTCTGCAAAGAGAGAAGTACTACTGATGTTTTCCCAGCGGTTGAAGCTTTAATGGGGCATTCTGAGAACATGTTCCCCACCCCTGGACAAGCCCCCAGGTCAAGCCCTTAGTTACAAGGGTTTCAGTGGGAGGGGAAATTGAATGGGAGATTTCGGTGGGAAAGGAAGTGGAAATGGGAGGGTGAAACTGAAAGAAACAGAAAAGAGAAAGCCCCCTGCCCATCTCCTGACACTACAAGTTGGTAAAGCACAGGATGCCAGGTCAGATTCATAATGTAATAATAATTAAGCATTTTAAAATGATACATTGTCAGACTGAGCAACATTTCTATTGCAAAGAGTCTCGCTCTGAATGGAATAAAACTGAAAGGCATTTTTATATCGGTGTCTATTTTATGGCATCTAAGCAAACACGGAGATCAGAGCCATAGATCTGTCAGTGGGTAGCATTTTTCCCATTTTTACTCAGCACTTCTGCTCAGCTACAGAGGTTATCCATAGCAGCAGAATCCAGAACTTCCTTTCTATAACACAAAAATACAACAAAAAGAAACGTGACATAGAGACGGAGATGAAAGATATACATCCGTCATTAAGAGTGCAAAGATAGCTGGAAAAAGCCTCTGAAGTGAAGATGTGAGGGGTAAGAACTACAGATTTTCTTTATGTCCTCGCTAGGGACCCCTCACCTGGTCTACTTGGATAGCCCTCTGGGTCCTTTCCAGGGCGATTGTGTATGTCTTTTCGAGCCACTTGGGAACAGCTTCTTTAAACCACTCATGGAAGTTTGCAAGTGCAAGAGGACCTTCCCTGGAAATAAAAAAAGACACAGAAGTAGTTCTTATTTCATGCAGAAGAGTCATAGGTGGACACTTCGTCTGCTACACGTGCCACCTTAGTCATTCCAGCCTGGGTTTGTTCCAAGGACTGACTGGTTATGCAAGTTGGGATGAACAACCGGAAGCCTGTCTTGACAGCTATTTTCAGGAGCGCGCACACACATTGACCCCCAAAGGTCCTTTGTAAGTGGTAGGGCCTGACAGGTAGCACTGTCAGATGGAAAAGCAGCCCCCACATGGTGAGCTTAAGATTATGGGCCAGGCAAAGCTCAGCACCTGCTGCACACGAAGTCCTTCATGCCATGCAACTCTTGCAGGCTGAGATAGAGCTGGAACAGGTTCTCTGCTGTGAGCTGGGACATGCAACCGTCAATCTTTCTCAGCTGCTCCTTGACATAACTGGAAACCTGCAGCAGGGCAACACAAACTACAATGGGTCCGTGAGAAGAAGAGCCCTGCCCTCCATCTGTGGTGATGCCACAAACAGCCTCTTCTAATAAGCGGTGCTTTGAGTCCTCTTTGGAAGCCATTTCAGCTAGTGCCCTATACAATTGCTGAACTATTAGAACATACAAATACAGCCAGGAGTATTGCCATTTGCACTGGGCTCAAATGTAAGCATGGCTTTGATCCTGATTATTGTAGGCAATGCTTCCCCCTCCAGGAGTCCTCTGTACCCAAACACCACAAGGGCAGGTGAAAGTGGCAAGGCCAGGAGCCATTCATGGGATGAGTTTTCCTCCCCACCTTTCTCCTACCTCTACCAAGAAGGAAACCATGCTCAGACTGGCTAATGGTAGCCATCTCCAACTGGGCCTCCAGGAGCTTTGGACTGCAGCTCCTAGAATTCCAGCCTACTGGTTATGTTGGCAGAGGCTGAAGGGAAGTCTGGAGAGCACCAGATTGGGGAAGACTAGGCTAGGCTTCTCAGCCTACCAAGCAGCTATATATTTATGTATATATGTATCTACCATCACCTATTTAGTGGTACCAACAGGTCTTTCAAAGGCTAACCAAGACACTCCACCCAAGCCCACAAGCCCTTTTATTCCAAGTGTCCCCCTGGCATAAAAGACACTGTACATTTTCTCTGGACAAGAACTTTAAGGAATCAGACACATGTGGCGCGTTCTCCCTTCATACAATCTGTTGCAAGGCTCATTGCAAACTGAGCTGACTTTCCTCTCATCCCCTTCTAACCAGCATTCCTGCTTGAATCAACAGATAATGACCACTTAGAGGACTCTGTTTCCTAAGCACCCAAAACAGCAGGACACTCAGAAGCATCCAAGTACTAAAGCTGGCAGAAGCACTGGTGGTTTTTTTACGTAGCTCTTGGATTGGACACGTTTTCCTTCATATTACTGGCTGATGCATCTGAACCAGCTTCAAAAGGTCCTGAGTTTATCATGAATAAGACTCAGATCAATCCTGGCCACCCACAAGATATTCTGAAGATAACACACATTTCCTGCTTATACTTTTAGATATTCTTAACCAGACAAAGAAGATGCAATTTTTGCCTCATTCCTGGTCCGATCCCTTGCCTCACCCTCTTCTGCCTTGCTGTGGAATACAAAACTGAAGCCCTTCTTGCTACAGAACAACAAAATAGCTACTTGCCTGCTCCTGCATTTCAAGGTATGCAATCGAGTAGAGATCCAGCCTCATGGTGCTGCACCAGAAGGAGAGGGAGAAGCAGGTGGTCAGAGGTTTGCTAAACACCACTCAACAGTTTGTTTTACCTGGTTGTTTCATCACATCATGTTAAACCTTTCCATGTCTTCCAACAGGATGCAGATACAGTAGAATAGGCAAGCACAGCCTTGCAGTCAGATCCAGCCCTCTCTAAGGCATCAAGCTGGGTCCCTGTGGTTGCCAGTTGAAAGGCAAGAGGGCTGGGTGGAGGATGTAACAGCTGTGGCACCAGGTAGGCCAACAGTCCCTTTGGGGAAGGAGTGGGAGGAGCCTCAGGCCCCAGCTCCCTTCCCATCTTCCAAGTAGGCCTAACAGAAAGCTACCAACTGACAGGGGATGTTTTAAAAAATCTGAGAAAGTCCAGATATCAGAGAAGAAAAGAAATTTGTAGTGAGATAATTGGCACAAAAAAGCTGATTTTAATCTGAACAGTTTCCTTTCCTTCTGACCTAATGATAGCTAGTGGGCATATATATTAAATGGGCATTCATGTAATGCAAGCGGACTCACATATAAAAGAAACAGAAGCTTATTTTCCAGGGAAGAACAAGGAACCTAATCACTGGAGTGGGGTTCTGCTGTTGCTCATCTCTTTGTTTCAATCACTGGTTTTCTACAATTTGCTTTGCTAGGACTTTTGCTGCTGCAGGAAGGATTGAGAAAGAGCTTTATGAGCAGTCAAACAGAAGAAAGACATCTTCTGCAAACTTACCTGATGAAATATTTATTCCAGGTTTTGTGGCATTGCTGGAGATCTGCATTCACCTCCATAAGAAGGCCAACCAGGGCCTTGCCACACTCCTCCATAGTCTGCAAAAGTGGGGAGAGTGGGGAAGTTCTGACATGATTTTTATTGCTCCCAGTAAGCCAAGTTCATTCAAATGGATGGGTTTCTCCCTCCAGTACTACAACGTCAGCCTTGTGGAATGCTCAAAAGACTTCTGAAATGGCAAGATGCCACTTCTTCAGTCCCATGCTTCAGCCACTCATGTGGTCTCATTGCTAATGAGGTGGTTCTTAGTGCTGAAATAGCAACTTACCAGTGTCTTGCCCGATACACATTTTGTTCAGCCAGACACTCGCTCATGTGAACAAATATAATACAGTATCTAGCCCATCACAGATACGGCTGGCACCAATGCTATGGTGGGGGAAAGTGACTTAATAATCCCTTTTCCCCCAAATGAAGTTGCCACAGGCCATATCTGCAATGACCTGGACTACACCTGAATATTTTGCAAGGCTGGGTCTGCTTGCTACAGACAAGACATAAATGAAGCAGTTCTTACTTTCACTCTTCCTTGCTGGGCAGTAGTAGAAGTTAGCAAAAGCCAATTAATTGGATCAGCCATTGCAGAATTTATGGGATGCACACAATTCAATGAGTTTCCATCACCATAAATCAAATCAGACTGGAAAAGACATTTACCTTTACCATCGGCTTCAGGTGTTGCTTCTTCATCTGAAACCACTGTGCTGTTCCAGACTGAGAAAAATAGGGCACAGAATAAATAGCAGAAAAGTTGCATTCTATAAGCTTCCAAAAACACTTAAAAACCCACATGCAGGATATGAAACCAGACAGTAACTGTTTCATCTGAACACATTACCTAGACCCAAGGCTAGAAAGGACAGTGTCCAAGGATGATATGGGACAGTGAGAAAGGTCTACAACCAAAGCTAGATCTTTTGAGCTTTCTGTGATTTGCTTTGCAGGCTCTGTCACTGAGGATGAAACTAGATCATACATTTTTCTATGACAGCAGGAATGGGCTTCCCAAGGCCTAGCAGTTGGAAACAAACAGGATCTGGAACAATCTCTTTCCATCTCTACTTTTACACTGAAGAAAGGAACACAGGAGCCCTCAAGGACTTGCAAGTATTGAGGAATACTGCTTTGGACTTGGCCAGGAACTCGCAAGGACACCGATGTGGCCTGTACCTTGAGTGCCTCTGTCACCATTTGTTGCAGGTCAAGAGGTAGAGTACAAAGTTCTCTGAAGGCTTTCATTTTACACATCTGGACCAAGACCCTGTGAAGACAAAAGCCATCACTGAAATCTAGCAAAACTCATATAATGCTTTGGGATTTCTTTTCCCACATGCCACACAGTAAGGTTGCCACCTCCCATCTAGCAAGCTCTCAACAGTTCTCAATGCCCTCAGCTATGGTGCTCCTCTAGACCTCTTCTTCAGAGTGGGGCTCGGGGCATGACGTTACAATGGGTCTGGTCCTTTCTGGTTGGGAGACAGCTTTCAGGAGACCGCGCTGGACAACTTCTATTCCATGCCACAATCACTGGCCTGTAGGATACACCAGGTTTCTATCTTATTCCCCACTTTTAAAAAAATGTCTACATGAAGCTACTAGGAGAGGTCATCTTGAGAGCTGGACTGAAGTGTCATCCGTTCCTTCTTTCCTGCTTATCTACTAACCAATACAAAGTGGAAAACATTCTGAATAAGTATTTGGAAGCATTTCTTGGCTGGATAATAGTGGATCAACTAATACTTTATCCAGACAAGGCAGTGGAACTGGTACTACTGATCTGAATGGAAGTTAGGAAGTGGTCTTGAACGGGGTTGTGTTTTCCTTAAAGAGTCAGAAATGCAGTCTGATAGCTTTCCCAGACCTGAACTATCTGTGGAGGTACAGGCAGCTAACAGGTCTTTTACCAGCTTAGGCTGGTTTGCCAGCAGCAGCATTATTTGGAAAAAGTACACATGGTTTAAGTTACGCTGGGCCTGATTACATCAAGGCTAGATTACCACAAGGATCTTTACATGGGACTGCCTGTAGGAACTGCTCAGACCTTCAGCTGGTACAGAAGCCAGGCTCAAAGTACATTATATCAATTCTGCATCAGTTGCATTGGTTATTATTCATTTCCCAGCATCAGCATAAAGTGCTGGGTTTGACCTATAGGCCCAAATGGTTTGGAACTAGGTAATTTGAAGGACCAGCAGCATTTAGATAAACCTTGAGACTGACCTCAAGGCCCTGCTCTGAGAGAGCTTTAGCTACTGGGAGCCACCAGGCTGGGTGGTGTAGGCTGATGGTGGTCCCTTTCCATAGGGCATATTTCTGACAACTAACCTGAGCAGTGACTGCAGCCTCTGCGTAGACTTGGGAGCAGAGGGTGAAAAGACAATTCGGAATCTCTGGATGAGAGAAATCCCATAGGAGAGGAAGCTTTGGAAAGCATCAGCCAGTTCCTTTTTCTGAAGAATTAGCAATATATATACATATATATTAGCTCTAATGAGAAAGATGTTGTAGCGTTCCATTGCTCTTAAAAGCAGTGACTGCCCCACATTCCTTCCTCTACCAAAAAGCCCCTTTGCTGCCCAAGCAGAAGCAAATGCTGCCTTGAGGGAGGAAGACACTCAGAATATGGTTTCTCCACTGCGGGCAAGGAGAGCCACCCTGGCACAGGAGTGGTATGAAAGGAAATAAGGACACAGTAGAAAGAGGCAAATTGCCAGGTGCCAGCGCAAGAGCTGCAGTGGCTAGAAGCCACCCTGATGACTCCATTTTGTGCATGCGTAAGTGCTACTGTGTGCCACTGATAAACACACCCTGAGGAATCAGCTGGAATCAATGTTTGATTGGGCCTTACTGTTTCTGAGGGCTTCTCTGCATGAGGCACTTACACTGGTGCTTTACCAAGGCTACGCCCTCCACTGTCTTTGCAGAAGGACTGGAATGCCCTTTGCAGGAGCGTGTTTGTTCTCTGCAGGGCAGGGGAGGCTGCCTCTGCCTTTCTATATGTTCCAAAGTGGCACTGCCCTATCACATGGAACTGTAAAAAGACGCCAGGCCTCTGTAGTGAGTGACAGCAGCAGCACCCAGGAAAATGGCTGACATTTCTCGTTCTTTGAAAAGCTGCAAAAATAGCTGGAAAGGAAAGGCCCTGGAAGCAACATTGTGAGCAGGCCCCTCAGCATTTTGTGCATGAGGGATTCTATGCAAAACACAAATAGTCAATGTGGAGAAGCACTGAGTCTTTGTCTAGCTGGACAGGAATATCCTACCAGCCATATCATTGCATAACCATCATGTCATACCTGCTCAGCTGTTAACCGTCTTTGCATCCACTGGTACTCTATGCTGGTGATCTGGTGGAGCAGACAGTTGCTGCTGAACTCTAAGACCTGGTACAGCTTGCTGTACACCAGCCAGTGCCTGTGGCAAGGGCAGAAGAAGAGTACTGAAATAAGGAGGATTAACTCCCCCATGAACCAGTGGGACTGTGGCAATTTTCACTCAATCAGATGGGCATATTCAAATTAATCCAATAAAGAATTCAAAATTCTGCAATAAAAACACAACAGGCCCATGTGCATTGATCAGAGAAAGTTATGATGCTTAGGGATTGTTAGATAAATTGGCTTAGTTTTCCTATATTCCTCCCATTGTAAAATCTAGACCTCTTGGCAGAATTTGATAGTGGTTATTATAGAAGGGGTTACAGAGTGATGGTGGTAGAAAAAAGAGTTCCATGTATTCTACTGGAACAGGAAATAGTTCTGGGAAGAACCACTGATGAGATCCCATTCACTGGACTGCATGCAACAATAAATCAAGGAGAGGCAATCTCTTAAAAAGAAAAGCTAAAATAAGCAGATCCAACGTCTGGACTTGATTCCAGGTCTAAGAAAAATCGTAGGGGAGTATCTGTAACTAACCCTCATGTTTTACAGTAATTTCCACTGATCACATGGCAAGTTTGCAGGCCTCAATTAAACCCTGTAACTTCCTTATGAAACAGGAAGCAACCATTATGGCTCTTTGGATATTTGGGGAAAAAAGAGTAGCAGGGCTGGGAACAGAAACCAGGTCCCTTCTCAGCACCAACCTCTTAAGTCAGTCTTTTGCACATAGAAACAAACTTGAGCATGGTTTGCCATTGAATTGGGGGTTCTTGTTGAATACTGAGTTATTATGTATGAACAACTGTGGGTTGTTAACTGCAAAGAATTCAGTCAGAGAACCCATGGTTTGTGAAATCTGGTTTGCTCATGGTTAACAACTCATCGATAAAAGATAGTGCAGGATTTGCACATAATGACAACTCATCAGCAACCTCTATGCTGGGTTATCATTACGTGCAAACCAGGTCTTTCCCAGATGTTGCTACCTCAGGTGGGAGGATGCAGGAGATACTTACGCCAGAACCTGGTGGAAGTCAGAAAGATCTTTCTGACTAGCATGTAAATACAGGATTGTACTGGCATGTTTGCTCAGTTCGCCATCCCAGAACATACTGCCAGCCTGTAGGGGGAAAAGGACAACAAACTGGCTGCTCTTTATCAGGCAGAAGAAAGAGACTGCAGCAGCACCATTACGGCTGTTTTAAGAAGCTCTAAGAACCAGCTGTTTTAGACACACTGAAACACTTGATTGGTGTTGGTCTCCACTGAGGTTGTTTCTACTTGGCCCCATTTACCCAGGACAGCTCACTGAACTGACTGGAAGGAATTGGGGAATAGCCAGACTGAGCCCTCTGCATGGAGACAAGCTACTCAGCCAGTCCCAAGAATGTGACTTGTATTGATTAGTGTGCATTAAGAAGCAATCATGGTACGCTGGGTATTCGATGCCTGTATGAAGCTCTTTTGCAATAGGTGAACACTGGGCCTCATCCAGCCTACCCAGCCTCTGAAAATGTTTGCTTCGCTTCCTAGTGGCTCAGCACTGCCCTTGCTTTTTCCTGTGGGTTCTTCATGGCTGCTATGCTCCCTTGTGGCGTTGTGCATCTGTGCAAATAGGACATGGCCTAAGGAAACTGAAAGCTGGAACGAGAATGCTTAGCAGTAGCCAGGGGCAGGTGGTACACGGGAGAAGCAATATCCCCCTTGACAGCAAAGGCATTAGCTTTCCCTGCAATGTAATTGAGCAACTGTGCTGTAAAGAAGGGCAGGAGGAGGAAAACACAGTTCAATAAAGTGAGCTTTATAACAGCAGTTGAATAGACGCTCTGTTTGTCACTGATGCATCTTTGTTTCACTACATTACACTAATGCAGTATCATGCATCTGGCCCACACCACTGGCTCTGAAAGTAGGCCATTACGCTGAAAATGGCACCAGTTTGGAGGGGAGGGAAAAATACAACCATTGTATTTTACTGTACAATAAAAACATAGTGACAAGACGGGAAATCCATCACATTACTGCTCCTGCTGGTTTTTAAAGGAGATGTGACCTTCACTCCCAGCAAGTGCATCATTTGCTTTTGCCTTCTTGTTTACATGCTACCCAAAACTACTTGAGAATGCAGTTTTGTAGGTGGAGCTGTCAATCAGCCTGTTTGCTCAATCTGTTTGCTCAGCCAGCACAGAAGTTGGCAAGAGGTTGCAGCTAGAGATCTACTTTGGGTCTGCCCTTGAGTGGAGGGCTGGAAGGAGATAAGGATATAGAAATGAATGAATCTCCTGACCTGGCTTGCTACTTGAGTGATAAGCAGGGTAAATGCCACCCTGCTATGCCCCACTTCACAGCGGTTTTGCTAAGCTGGTTTGATTCTTCCCCAGTTTGTTTGTTTGTTTGCACAATATCCCTCCTTTTTTCTTACAAGAACCCAAGGTGGCTTGCCTGCTCTCAATGTTATCTCCACCACCACCACAACCCTGTGAGGTAGGTTGAGCTGAGAGTCAGTGTCTAGCCCAAAGCCACCCAGTTGGCTCCATGGCCAACCCAGACTGCCTGCGCCCCAGACCTCATGGGATGCTTGAGCTCTTGACCACTGCACCACACTGGCTCTCCCATGTACCTGGTGCTGGAGAATCTCATAGGAAACCATCTGCTGAAGCAGGTGCCGATGGACTGTAAAGCTTGGTTGCATCTTACTGGCTGAAGTGGCCCTCTGAAAAGGAAACAAGGCTGAGCACCCAGCTCCTAGATAGGGTGGGCATTCCTGGATGGCCAGCAAGCCTCCTCTCTACCAAAGCACATGCTTTCATAGTATTGGATGAGCTTGGCAATAATACATCTCTGAGTCTTCAAGTGTCATCAGAGGTCTGAGCCTTTGATGTCTTAGCACCCTGGCAAGGAAAATGTCATTTATCATTTTATTATCTTTATTATTTGCATTTGCCGGAAGCTTAGGATGTTTTGAGACTTAGTGCGTTCCAGATGGAAGATGGTAGTGCTGGGGATCAGAAGTCATTTTGCAACCATTCTGCCACTTCCTAATGGATTTTCCATGATAAGAAGTGCCAGAAAAAGCAGAGGGTCATGACTGGAAGCCCATAGTCTGCTTCCCCACTCCATAAGACAATGTGAATGAGGAAGGGTGATGGAGAGATAAAAGCCTACTCTGTAAGCAGCCATGGGGTGTTGCCAGATGAGGCTTTTAACTGTTTAATCACCTGCATCATTCTCAGAATCTTATCAGGGATCCAGATATCTTCACCTTCCATCTTTAGCCCTCCTGTACTTTTCCACCACTGCTTTCACCCTCTTTCTTTGCAGGAAAGAGAGAGAAAGGGTTACAAAAAGGTGGAAGAGCTTTACAATACCATTTGAGTGGTGTTAAGATCCCATTGTCTGGAAGCACACTTCGATCCAAGGCAGGATCCAAATCCATGAAGCAAGGCTTCTGCCAGCAAAATATCCATTCTCAGCAGAGTGATAACAAAATTAGGTAGCACAACACATTTTTAGAACATCTGAGTGCTCTCACGTTGGAAAGCCTTCACTGTCTTTTGGAACCAAGGATGAAATGACCCACTCCTTGTAGCCATGCCGGCCTTGGTCACCTTGTGGCTGGCCTCACATCTCTATCGAATGTCAAGGGACGCCCCCCCCCCCACTACCTTCTTGTGGATCAGAAGGAACTGCAGGTGGCAGTGCCCTCTGTTGGGGTAGGTTTCTGTGCAAGGTTCCAGCCTGTACCAACGGTCATCCCTGCAGTGCAGCTCCTATGCAAACAAGGGCAGAAAACAAAAGCCACATGTGACAAGGCAGGTGAATGAGAGGCACGGCCCCTGAACTGTACTGAATGTTTTAGGCAGTTTATGTACATATCTTCTGACTGCAGACTGTGAATGTTCAATAGGATTGCGACGCACTCTGCCGTTCCTCACCTGCAAGCGAAGTACCACGTTTCCCAGGAAATCATCCTGCCCTTTGTCCTTCCGAGCATCTTTAAAAATCCTGGGAAAGAAAAATCAAGCCAGGCAGGTTGGAATAACAGAAAGCCCTCTCACACACAAATGAGTAAAGAAGATACTGCAAATGGTTCTATTGCTTAATACCCTCTCCTAAACTAAGGAGAACCAACTTTACAAAATGTGAAAAAGTACATTATTGGGACAAACCTCTTCAGCCCATGGATGTCTGTGAGTTCTCCTAGTTTGTGGCGCACAGTTTCAACATCATCAGAGTCCCTGCAAGAAAGGATGCTAAAATGTACAATGGGGTTCCTCTTCAAGAGTCCCAGTGAGATGGAGAGGCTCCGTCCCTGCCCCTCCTACCCTCAGATCTGATGGGAGTAGTGCAAGAGAGATTGCAGTCCCCTAGGGAACATTTGTTCATACATATTTATGGAGAAAATCTGGGCTCAGTAAAAATGAGCCCAGCACACTTATGTACATCCCTCCATCCATAAGCTTCTAATGGCTGCATGCTGGCAGCAGGTGGAGCAATGCAGAAGATGGGAAGGGGCCCATCACACTCTGCTACACACAAGGAGGTGCCTCCTCCCAAGTAGCAACTGAGCTTCCAAAGTTCTCTTGGAACTATCGAAAGGCTTTCCCTCAAGCCTCACTGCATGGAGGAGGAGGTGCAGCACAAGAAAAAGGCCAACACTTCCCTTTCCAGCTATAATGCCTCCTCCCACCAGAAAAACAAAACAGCAGCCCTCTTTTGCAGCAATCAGGCTTTTAAAAAGTTTTTATTGGCATCAATGGAAGCTTTTTAAAAATCTGACCTGCTGCGGCACTGGAGTGGGTGCAAGAAGGATGACCATAGAAAGCAGCCTTATACCAGATCCTGGTTTCATCTAGTCCAGTATTGTAGACTGGCTGGAAACCACCCTGCATGGTGTCAGGTGCAAATGCTATGGGAAATAATATCCAGTCCTACTCACCACATGTCCAGATGGAATCTGGCATTCTCTATATCTTTAAACTCCCTGCAAGACAAAATTATTAAAATACTACTGGTGCAATTTGTACGCAGTTGACAGCAAGGGGTGGGGTACATACAATCCCATTTGTGCACTCAGGTGAATGAAAGAAGAGCAGGAGAGGAGCACCCATGGGCTATGTGCCCTCTAAACCAGCACCTGCCTTGACCACATTCCCTAAGCCAGCATAAAGGGGCCACAAGTACATATAGATGTACTTCATGGGGATCCTTCACACTGATGCCAAATGGGCAGCCATGGTGTCTGTGTGTGTTTAGGACATGCCCAGGGTTACAGGGAGCATAGCTAGAGGGTGTGATTCCTCCCCACCCCACTCCATGTGCACAAGTAAGGGCAATGATGGTGTCCCGCCATAATTGTAGCCACACAAAGAAAAGACAGAGCAGCTGATAAAAGAGGCAACCCCCACCCAGGGTCAAGAAAACTGCATACAGGCTTCCTTGCCTTGCAAAAGAAGCTTTAGGGCAAATCTTATCAATGTTTAGACAGGAAAAAATCCTACAATTTGCAGCATTCCTCAGCCACCGCATGGAATGCTGAAAATTGCAGCTTTTTTCCTGCCGAAACAAGTCAAGACCTGCACCACTAATTGCTTTGATCCGCTTTCTCCTCTTCAGGGTCTGTTCTCACAAGAAGCCGGTGTGCTGAACAGAGGCGAACTGCACTTGCCTTGCACACTTCCCAGGACCCCTGCTGCAGCGCAACCAACATCCCCTCTTAAGGCTCCCCAATTCTGATGGCCATTTCACTTTGCTCAGGTCTCATTTTTAGAGTGGTATATTTCTCTCTCTCTCTGTCACCCTGAGCCTAAAGAGCATCAGGTTGTCCCTTTCACAGCTCTGTCTCCTGGCTGCAGATCTCTGGGTCACAAGGCGCTCGTGCTGCAAAGAGCTGCATTAATAAATAATTCTTCCTCCAGTAAGGCACACTGCACCAGGGCAGAAGCGAAATGAATTTGCTACGCAGAAGGGGCATACAGGATAAAGGTTTCATCCCAAACAGGATTTAGTGTTTGACTGATGATTTGAGTGCGGTGGGTCTGGTCTTCAGGGAGTAGATTCTTCACCACAGCCTTTGATCGTTTCTTGATCTCTTGAGAACTGCCACTGGCAGAGGAGTCCGGCGACTTAGTTTCTATCCCTAGGAGGCAGTATGGGTCACTGAAGCCTGCAAGCCAAGCAGCAACAGCCATTAGAACATGTTGCATTTGCTCCACAGTTTTTAATCTCATCACAATCAGCAGGATGGGAGCTTGTATGTGGGAATGTTTCAAAGAGGAGAGGGCAACTTGGGGCCCTCCAGATGTTTTGGCTGCCACTCCCAGCAGCCCTTACTATTCTGGCTATACTGGCTAGGGCTGATAAGAGTTGTAGGTCAGAAAAGTCGCATAAGGGAGAAGGGAACCACCAAGGGGCGTTCAGCTACCCTGCCCTTCCAGTTGTCCAACATAAATAGGGAGGAAGTCTGACTTCATCCTCCTCTACAGAGAACATGCTGGACATTAAAAACAAAGACACAAGCACAAACACAAACTAAGAGGCAGGTCAGGTACCAAGCATAACAGTTGGCTCAGAGGACTGGAGGTTAGCTGTAGTACCTCAGCCCATAACAAACAGTAAGGTCTCTGCTTAATACTCGTATGTGTCAAACTCTTTCAATATAACCCCCTCTCCGACTTATGTTACCCCAAGAGAGAAGGCAGGACATACATGGGGTGGCACTGTGCTTTGGTGGCATCAAGCCCTGCCCTGCCTACATCTGGTTTGTACATGAACTGCATGAAAAGAAACATCTGGGAAACGGCACTGTATTCCGGTGTGGCAGTGTGGGGGTGGGAGACTGTAAGGAAGGATGCATGAATGTGCTCCAAATCAAAACAGTTTGAGTAATCTGCAAAAACAACACGATTTCACAAGCAGAACCCAGTCTTGAGCAGAAGTAGCTATCGTATAGTATTAGATCCTAAAGTTTTTGCATTTGAATTGCAAACACTTTTCTACTCACCACTGACATCTTTACCCAAAATACCCCTGGCTTGCTTCACAGTTGCTTTAAGACAAAAAACTGGTTTCTGAAAGCATAAAAGGAGTATGATTAACAAGCCAGTACACTTTCAAGCAACGAATAAATATATCCATTATGGTCACAAACTCTGGAATCTTCAAAATCTTCAAAATGTTGAGTTCTCCTATTAACAGCCTGATCTGATCTTATTTACCCACAGCAGAGGACAAAACAAGCAACATGCATGGGAGATATGCAATGCAGCCTCTTGGTTTTTCTCTTATTTTAAATGAAAGCAGCCAAGAGGGGCCATAGCCAAATTGATGCAGGGGGAAACAACAGGGAGCAAGGGAAGGGTTAATTATCTTCTGCTCTGCCAACATAGAGGTTAACCAATTCCCCCTCTCCTCTGCCCAGATCCTCTGCATCCCCTCCCCAACATGATTGCTTTTAACTCTATGGAATAAAGTCATCCTGGGATCTAATTTCAGACCTCTTACATGTCCTCAGGGGCTAACCCCCAAAGAAGTGTTCACAGATTTACTGCAAAACAGAACAGATCAGCAGATAAAGGAATGTTATTCCCCCTGTCCTTGTTGTTTACACCCCCTATCCCAAAGAATGTATTGGGACAACATTTTAGCATCTGGTGAAGTGACTGCAGTCCTGAAATCTTATGCTGCAATAAATGTGTTGATTGAGCTGCAGGAGGCAAAGGTGGCCACCGCTCTGGGAATCCCTCAGAAGAGCCTTATTTCAAACCTAAACCCTTTTCACCATCTTCACCTTGTGCTTTTCACAATGTTTGCATGTGACAAAGGTTGTTACAAGCATTTCTGCATTTCATCCTAGATGGAAGGAGATTGCACCCGACCTTTTGTATTCATCTCTAGAGGCAGAGGAAACTTTTAATAAGTGAATACGTTAAAGGGTGCAATCCTTCACATTTTTAGACCAAATAAATAAATATTGGCACACTCCAGCCAAGATGTGTAGGATGTATCTTAAATTAAATTGGAAGACAGCAGCAGTCAGCCATCTCTTGTGCTTGTCCCGTTCCACTTTGGCACAGAGAGGGACAAAGGAGCCCCTCTCTGTTCCTACTCCTGCCTATTTGCTTATTTTTGCTATTTGCTTTTTATTATGTTTTCCTCTTTTGCTGCATTGTGTAAACTGCAGGGCCTGCTTTGTTCTTCTTGAGGGCCATTCAGTTCTTCAGGAAATTATAAAGTGTTAGTAAGCTGATTTTACAGAGCAACCCAACCAGTGTTCTGTAAAGAGCAGTATGAACATCAGTTACAAAATGCTTGGGCCAAATTAGATATGATGCAGAAGATCTGTGACCAAGATCTCTTCTGGTAGTGTTGGCAATGATGGTGTCATTAACAGCACAAGCACCTGCACATGGCAGCTTTGAGAGCTGGGGAAGCAATGCTGTGGAAAGGAGGCTAATCCTCTTCTTTTGGTGCTGCTGCTTCAACTTGCACTAGCCCCAGCTGCTTTTAGCTCTGTGAGTGCCTCTAGGTTTACAGTCAGAATCTACCCTGACATAATCCACCCACATCTAAGGACCCAGCTCCTGACAACAGTGTAGGCCCTATGCAAAGAAGGTCTCTTTTACCTTGAATTTCTCTTTTATCTGTAAGGAGAAGATAAGCTGGCCCTTCCTGCTTCAAGTGATGCTTGCCCTTCTGAGACCACAGAAGTAAAGAAAGGCAAGCGCTAGCCTTTACCAGTACCCAGAAGAACAAAGGTGCTGGTGGTTTTCCATGTGGGTGTGTATACCATTGCCATACACTGTAAGCCACTTAGGAGGTCATATACTTAAAAAGGCAGGCTTGAAATCTTTTTTAATGTGTATTAAACATCTCTGACATCTCTGCATGGGCTCACAAAATGTATGTACTTCTCAGTTACACTTTACCTCTAGCTCTTTGACCCGCTGTAGAATAACATGATGCTCTTCTGGTTCCATATTGAAAGCCTGGTTTAGGTGTTAGAAGAAAAATAATTAGAACAGAACTTGGTTTCATTATGACAGAGAGTTGGAAAAGTCTCAGTGACTCAAGTACTGTGAAAGGGAGGCAAGAACATCCTTACACTTTAAGATTAGGTGTGGGCAAATTGTAGCCTGAAGTTCACACCTGTGGCCTGATATCCATTCTGCTCAGACCTCTGTTCAGAGAGGGAGGAAGGGAGAGAGAGAGAGAATATCTGTCCATACAACAACCCACTGTGGCTTAATTTGCCAGAGCAGGCTGCTGTGTTGTGTGCCCACAGACACTGAGCTTGCTGGGGCTTGTTATGTCCTATGAAGCTAGATGACAAGAGCTGTTTAAAAGCTAGGCAACCCTCAATCTAGTCATGGGTTATTTGAGGCTCGTCTAACCTGCAAATAGTCCCTGCAATATGGGTTTGCATGATACAGCAAGCCATGACCAATTGGGCATATATACGCATCATTTAAAATGGCATCTGCAAACATCTACAAACATAATTATCCCAAAGGAGTACAGGGTGAATGGTAAAAAGATGTCCCACTTGTGACCTCAACTCAGTTTTCTGAGTTTCTGCAGATAAGTTGCTTAAAAATAGTATGTAAGGGAGTATCTTTGAGGCAGTTCTTTCGGCTTTAGTTTACATTGCCCCTTAATAAATTAGGATAGCTACTGTTCCTTATAACTGTATCTATATTATCTATGTCTCTTCTGCTGTTTAAAATAAGGGGTTGTTTTTGAGTCCACTTTGGGTCCCCTTTCAAACAGCATTCATTGTGTGCTGCCCATATCAGCAGATCCCAACAACATTGTTGAGATATCATTTTTATGCAAAAATAATGGAGATCAAGAAAAGATTTCAAAGAAAGAAGGTGTTCTGCAAATTGATTTAGAAAATAGATGGATATTCACAAACCCCACTTGCATTTTGTGAAGTAAAAGAGCAGAGGCAACCATGCAAAAAAAGAGAGCACTGAGGAAAGGGTAAGACCTCTTTTATGAGCTACTGCTTTGAAAGTATTATTAATGGGGGCAGGGAATAGGACAAAATGGAAAGAAAACATATTTCTCTGGTTATTTTCCAGGGAAGGCTGTACAGAAATTTACTGCTGCAGAATACCCTAAGCCCAGCCACTAGCTTTCTGATAAAACTCTGTTTCTGCTAAAAGTCCTACTTTATACCCTGGACAGCATTTCTTCCAGCCAGGTGGCACTAAATGTATCTCTCCTCTCAGCTCTCAGATCCAATTAGGGCAGTCTTGTCCAACCTGGTGCAGTTCAGAGCAACAATTCCTATCAGCTCCAGCCAGTATTGCTTGGGACAGATGTTCTGGAGATCATCATGCTGGAGAAAGCTGCCTTAGGAAATAAAACTGGGAATGCCTAAAGCTTCTGCCCATTCTGTTGGCTTCTGGTTTTGCCATTACTCGTGCACTCATAGTAACTCTGCTGCTGAGAGAAATCACTGGTATGAAGATATCATTTGGAGAGAGATTAGGGAAGAGCAGGTAGTCATGTCTCATGCTGGGAGTTAAAGAAGTGAGGGCAAGGGGAGGGAGTGCTTGACACCAAATAAAGAAGGAAGCAAGATTTTGGATTGGATAGACACAGCTGGATCTGGTCCTTTAGTCTGACCTTCTGCACATAATCAAACAGCTCATCTGGATCAGCAACATGGTTGTGTTCTGGTTTGCCCAAGCGATGGAGAATGGTGTAGAGAACTTCTTCATACAGGAGGGTGAGCTGCAATAGCATGTTAAGAGCAGATCAGGATGAAGTCAATGTCTTGTGACTTAGTGTTCTTGCATACCATACTGAGGATCAATGTGTTAATCAGTTGGGATCTTGAGTAATAAGCTGTGGTGGTGTCTATGTGCTCTTTTCCAAACAGCTCACTGGGCTAGATTTCATGGAGAGAAAGTCAGAGGGCCAGGCAAAGTCATCTATTTCAAAATGGTGGACAGATCGTCCGGCTACCATGCCACATTGGAGACTTTGCTTCCTGAGCCCCATACTAACCAATAAGATAGAATTTGAGCTATGCATTGGTGGTGGCTGGTATGAGACTGGCAACAATTTCATTTGCAGTCTGGCACAGCAAACAGAGAGCAGGTGCATCTCAAAGGCAGTCGTATAGCTTCTAGTATATTGCTCCAGATAAATATACAGCCATTAACATGCAGGAGAGAGCCGATCATTCTAGAAAAATGTTAAGGGAAGCTCAACCCCCAACTGGGTCCGCTCATCTAGCATGGCACAGGAAACCCAATAGGACCCCTACAAAAGCATCAGACAACTAAATGTCAACACAAGGCTATCCCTACTAATAGAGACTCAGGCAGCAGAAGTGGGATGATGCCACCAGAGGCTGCCTCAGCTGTTACTCCTCAGCCTGCAGCTACTCCCTTTCCTTCAAAGATAGAGCTATGTATGCCACACAGTCTGTCCTGGGCTCCTTAAACTATCCTACTACTTCAGGTGCAATGGAGGATGCTACCTCATCACCTATTGGGAAGTAATAATCATTTGCTAGTCCAGTTGGCTTCTATACATAGAATGGACATGGGGTGCTATCTGGCCCTTTACTTAGACAACAAAATGTCTTGGGCTGGCCCTGACCAGGAGGCCCCTGTGTTTATCTTCCTTCCTTCCTTCTGCCCGCCCGCCCATCTTTCCCAGCCTCTAACATAAAAAGCTCAGCACAATTTTACACATGAGATGGCAAGACTCCCTGGAGAAGACCATCATGCTAGGGCAAGTCAAAGGCAGAAGAGGAGGAGGAAGGTGAATTATGGGATGGAGTGGCCCCATAAAGGAAGCCACAGCCTTGAGTTTACAAGAGCTGAGCAGGGCTGTCAAGGACAGGACGTTTTGGAGGGCTTTCATTCAAGTTGTTGGAAACAACTTGGTGGCACATGACAAATAATTAACTAATGGAATTACCTGGCAATGATAGCCACTGATTTGTGTAACTTTAAATGGGGATTACTCAGACATTTGGAGGAAATCATAATGGAAATGGTGGCCTTCCCCAGCCCACTGCCTTCCCAATGTGTTGGACTGCCACTCCAGTAATAATGGGATTGCAGACTGGGGAGAGTTGCTAAGCCATGATGAGAAGGACGCTTCCTGGTCCAGAGGAAATATAGTGCTAAAAATCAGGTGTGATGTTGCTTTCCTTGATGTTGCTTTCCACCTGTGGTCTTTCTAACACATGGCTATACATGGTTGGAAACAGGATGCTGGACTGTATGTAACTCAGCAGCACTCTACTCATGCTCATTATTCAGAAATGAATGTTAGAGTCTTACCTCTCTCCTAGAGAATTTATGAGCCAGGTCCATCTGCAATAAATAAGAAAAGCAGATTTAGCACCAATCTGCTATAACTTGATGAAAACTCTTGCAAAAATAGAATACAAGTGTGGGCATGCAACAGTGAGTCTACAAATGTTTTAGCCTCTCATTCGCTCTAACCAGCATAAGCAATAGTATGCAGTGGTGGGAGCTTTAGGCTAAAGCACCTGAGTGGTTAGCGACTGCCCCAGTATTGTGTAAATGAAAGAATGCCTCTTCCCATTCTAGCCTGCTCTCTCTTTAAGGTCTTCCCCTCAGCCCTGATCCAAGTGGCTCTCTCATTGGAATAAAAAGCAGGGGGCTTTTCAGTGGTGGCACCTCTCTTTAGAAAAGCAGGTTGCTTACCTGTAACTGATGTTCTTCGAGTAGCCATCTGTGCAGTCACACATATATGGGTGCTGTGCCTGTGCAGTGCCTTTGGCCAGAAGATTGCAAGCTAACAGTTTTTGGTGGAAAAGCTCCACTCCCCCTCCCCCATGGCCTATAAAGAGTGGAGCATCTGCCATTTTGTTCAGTCTTTGATGACCGAACATGCGCCCCCTTGTGGAAAAATTTTCAGTATGAGATAGGAAAAAGGGATCGGTACCAAGAAAAAATGGGAAACTTTTGGTACTGATTAATGTGTCCACTCACCGACACCAAGCGGGGCCGGCGGGTGGGTTGTGTGACTGCACAGATGGCCACTCGAAGAACATCAGTTACAGGTAAGCAACCTGCTTTTCTTCATCGTGGCCTCTGTGCATCACACATATGGGTAGATTAACAAGCTTGCCATAAAGGAGGAGGGAAGGTGTCCTCACTGAAGAACGGAGGAGAGAACAGCTCTACCGAAGGAGCAATCCCGTCGAGTTCGAACATCGAAATGGTAGTGCCTGGCGAAGGTGCAAGGGTTTGCCCAAGTAGCGGCTCGGCAGACGTCATCAATCGGGACCCCGGATGCGAATGCAGACGAGGTTGCGACAGCTCTAGCAGAATGGCCTCGAGGAACTGAAGGCAGTTCGAGCTTAGCTAATTGATAGCATAAGACTATAGTGTGGACTATCCACTTAGAAAGACTCTGTGGAGTGACTGGATCACCCTGATCCCTAGCAGAATATTTGATGAATAGTTTATTGGATCGTCGAACAGACTCTGCGATCGGTAGAAGGCTAAGCAATGGCGAACATCGAGTGAATGCAAAGATCTTTCCAATGGAGTTGATGGTGACGGAAAAAAGGCAGGCAGCACAATGTCTTGTCCCGTATGGAAAGGTGTAGACACTTTAGGCAAAAAAGACGGGTCGAGGCATAAAACGACCTTCTCCCTGTGAAAGTTTAAATAAGGAGGGTCTATGCAAAGCGCGCAAAGTTCACTGGCCCTCCGGGCTGAAGTGACAGCTAGAAGAAACGCTGTCTTCCAAGAGACCAATCGAACATCCACCGTAGCCAAAGGTTCAAAGGGGGCCTTCATAAGGGCCTGTAGAACTACAGAGAGGCTCCATGTGGGCATAACCGGTCTAATTGATGGGTTAAGATTATATAGTCCCTTCAAAAATCTTTTGAGGATAGGATGAGAAAACAGAGGTGATCCGTCGACTCAGCCACGGTAGTAGGCTATAGTGGCTGTATACACTTTAATGGATGACGGCTTCAGTCTGGAATGGTGCAATTCCAGGAGGAACTGAAGAATCTGTTGAATGGATGAGAGGAATGGAGAGAATGAACGTGACTCGGCAAAGGCGGAAAAATGTTTCCATTTAGCCTTATATGACTTCCTTATGGATGGCTTTAAGGCAGAGTCGATGATATGCTGAATATCAGGGTGCAAAAACGTCGGATTCGGATTCAACGGGTCTTGTCTCGAACCAGATAGTACAGAGAGACCAGAGCGGGGGAAGCAGCCAAGTGATTGGGTTCGACAATCGGATCCGAGGTGGTCGAAGTCATCATCGGTACCGACAGATTAGTAGAAGCTGTCGGATTCGTAACTTTCGAAACCGTCGTCGGCACCGATAGAACGTCAATTATCGAATTCGCCACAGTGTTAGGTTCAATGAGAGCAAATCTGGGTGACGAAGTGTGCCGTCCACCTGTGTTATAAGCTATGGGAACGATGAAAGATGAAGAAATTCCCCGTGAGAGATGTCGAGTAGTTTCGCAAACCACGCTTGACGTGGCCACCAAGGGGCAACTAGTATCCCCGATGCTCGGTCGTGCACTATCTTTGCTATGACCCTCATCAGAAGAGGGATTGGAGGGAAGGCGTAGAAGTTCATATTGTTCCAAGGGATCATGAATGCGTCCCCTAGGGATGTGTGTCCGATTCCCGCTCTTGAACACTAAGCCTTGCACACCCTGTTCTGTTGGGTAGCAAATAAGTCTACGTCGGGAAACCTCCAGCGCTGGAAAAGGTGGTTGCGTGTACGGGGATCCAGTTCCCACTCGTGAGAGGTGAACATGTGCCTGCTGAGAAGATCCGCCTGCACATTGTCTACACCAGCTAGATGAACAGCCATCAGCGTGATGTGTCTCCGGATGCACCAGTCCCAAATTTTCATAGAAAGCCTGGCTAGAGTCCATGACTTTGTTCCCCCTTGCTTGTTCAGATAAAAGACGGTAGCTATATTGTCCAAAGTTATCTGAACGATCTGATGATGAAGGATGTCCTCGAAAGAGCGCAGGGCTTTGAAAACTGCCAGTAGTTCTAGGAAGTTGATATGGTTCGTGGATTCTAGACGACTCCACATACCCTGGGTAGATAGGCCGGAGCATATTGCTCCCCATCCTAGAAGAGATGCATCGGTGCCAAGGGTAATCGTAGGAGGTCGCGCCCTGAAGGGGACTCCTATCATAAGATTGGTCGGTTCCAGCCACCAAAGCAGAGAGTGAAGCACGGAAGATGGGATCCAAATCAGTCTCGACTGCGGATCTCTTTGAGGATGGTACACCTTGTTGAAAAAGAGTTGCAGTGGGTGAAGCCGAAGCCTGGCATGTGGAACTATGGCAACTGAGGAAGCCATATGCCCCAGGATCCTCTGGACAGACCTTGTCGGGACCGTTCCCTCTCGTCGGATTCAATGAATGTGGCGAGCAAGAGTCTGTTGTCTGTCCTGAGGGAGGAAGGCTTTTTCCAACGTCGAATACAAGCGGGCTCCAATGAAGGTGAGCGTCTGTGTCGGGCGAAGAGAAGATTTCTCGGTATTAATACATAGGCCTAGGCTATTGAGCAAGGCACAAGTTGTATGGATGGCCGCAAGGAATCCTTCTCTGGACTGCGACACCAACAGCCAGTCACCGAGGTACGGATAAATTTGTATGCCCTGGAGGCATAGGAAGGCACAGACAGGAGCCATGCACTTGGTAAAAACCCTCGGAGCCGTAGCCAGTCCAAAAGGCAAAACTGTAAACTCATAAAGTTGGTTTGCAACCGCAAAACGAAGGAAACGCCTGTAACTTGGGTGAATTGAAATATGGAAGTAGGCGTCCTTCAAGTCCAATGAGGCAAACCAATCCTCTCTCCTTAGCAATGGCAAAATGTTTTGAAGGGTAGTCATACAAAACTTTTTTGGTACAATAAACTTATTTAAGTTCCGTAAGTCCAAAATTGGACGTAGACCACCATCCCGCTTAGGGACCGTGAAGTATCTGGAATAGAATCCGTGGAGTCCGTCAGATGGGAATACTTGATGAATCGCTCCTTTATGAAGAAGTTGATGTATTTCGTCGAGCAGTACCAGTGAACATGAAGTGGACCGGATCGGACTCGATGGAGGAACGATGTCGAATTCTATTCGATAGCCGTGTTGAACAATGGACAATACCCACCGATCAGATGTGATGGACTCCCAAATGGGGAGTCGGCTTCGAAGCCGATCCCCAGATGAGAGGGGGGTGGGTATTGGTGGAGCATGAGGAATGGTTCGCCAGTCCCGTCAACATTGCCTCCAATTGTCGAAACAACAGCGGCCTTGTTGGAAGCGTTGTTGGGGCTGAGGACGGCGGCACTGCTGTTGCTGTTGCTGTTGCTGGCGGTGTTGTGGCTGCTGCCTCGGTTGATATGATTGCCTGTAGGATGGACGATTCCAGGACCACTTACGTCTGGTGTGGGACTGTATCTCCATCCTGCGTGCCGTCATCCTCGATTCATGCAGCTTCTTGAGCTTGTGGTCGGTGCGAGAATGGAAAAGCCCGGATCCATCGAAAAGCATTCCCTCGATCCGGCGCTTGGTTTCTTCCGGAAAATTACAATTCCGAGGCCATGAATGCCTTCGGAGAGAAACAGCACCGACCAAGACCCGTGAGTCAGTATCCACGTGGTGCCTCGCCGTGGATAACTGCTGCACCGCGACTTGCATGGCTTCCTTAATCAGGCAAGGTCACCCTGGTGGTCTGGGAGGGTGGAGGCAACATTGTGCAGGTGACGTTGTGCAGGCGCTGCATAATAAAGTATTGATACCTCGCCAACGTCGCCTCGTAATTTGATATACGGAGCCCCAGGCCTGAAGCAGCGTAGACTCGCCTAGCCAAGGAGTCTATTTTTCGGCCCTCTTTATCTCTCGGTGCCGTGTGCCCTCTTGCCTCGCTGCCCTGCGAGGATTCGACAACCGCAGAGTTCGGTTTGGGATGTCAGAGGAGGAAGGGGATATCCTCCTCCCGAACCCTGTACATCAACTCATATCTCCTGGACGTCGGCTGAGGATGTGATGGCAAGTCCCAGGGCTGTGTCATCACCTGCTGCAAGGTGGTTATGAGCGGCAGGACGATGGATGTCGATTGCTCCCCGCGGACAACATCGTAGAACTTGTCCGTCGTCGGTCCCGGGCGCTGGGCAGCGTCGATGTCCAGGGACTGGACAAGTCTAGACATCAGCTCCACGAAGGAGACATGGGACTCATCAGGTGACGCAGGACCCTGGGATGTCACAGCGACATCCGGAGAGGTTGAGTCGACCTCCAAGTCAGCCAAATCGGCACCGTAGTAGGGTGGGGCCGAAGATGATGACTCCGCCGG